TACTATTGGACTGAAATAACAGTGTGTCGCTGCATTTTACAAGTTGCTTTTTTTACACGGACTCATGTTTATTTATCCCTCGACTATTTTGATAACAATGGGAATAGAGTTGGATGAATCAGTTACAAATTTTTTTCAAAACCAATAATGTCAAAAAAACACTTGTTGAACAACACTTATTCGTCTTGATCCAAACCAGAGAACATGCCTAATTTATACACTGTCATTCTCTTTTTATAGTTAGAGCTTTGATTATGGGATAAAAAAAATTCGAGGAAACGTTCATTCCTACCGGTGTTTTTTATCAAATACTGCAATATCAGTGAATCTATAGAGACATTTTTCCCCGGTTTGAGTTGCCATCAAAGGATATAACAGAGTGTTTAAAATTTGTACATACACATATCATCAGAAGAAAATTACAGAAACGATTGAAATCCTAAATATCAAAATAACGTGATTATTCTGACTATGAATGGCACTGATACAACGTCGAATTGAGGAATAGATGACAGATTATTTTGAACTTATAGTTTTTTTATGCTCTGGTTTCCACGAAAAGGGATTTCCTTCAATGATCAGAGGACAATGTGAGAATCGAGGGAAATAAGGTAGGAATTGGTGTTCTTCTTAAATTTCTGGAGGTTATATGCCTCGGGGAACACTTTCCTTGGCAATTTGTTCCAGAGCCTCGCTGTTCGTTGGATGAACGAGTCTTTGTGAAGAGATGTTCTGCAGGTCTTCAAAGTGACCACGAAGGGGTGCGAAGCCTCTACTTGACGGGTTAATCTCGCGGGGACTGTCAAGAAAGGAACAATTGTTGATATTTCAGAAGAGCAGCGTCCATGAACATATCTATGAAATAGAGCCAGATCGCCAACTTTTCTACGGTGTTCCAGAGAAGTGAGTGAGTTTGTACATGGCCATATATTATTATGCCTGATATTCTAGACATTTTCAACTGGCGTCAGATTCCTCATGAATTCACCTATGATGTAAAGGAGCAAACTTCATCGATATTTTGAGTCAATCGATTATTTCACCGGTGAGTGTATCTTCGTCGGACGATGAAATTGAATATGAACTCTTGGCATGCCACAGCCTCCAGCAGATCGAAATATTTTTCAATATAATCTAATTTTGTGATACAAATACTATATGGAAATAGTCCTTCTGGTACAGTAACTATGTATATCAAATAACTACTTCACAATAATTCATCATGTTCTACTGATTTTTTCTGTTCAGTGAAACAAAATCCAGCATCAGTATTCGATTTCAATCTGATTTTTTAGTTCAATCAACGAACACTAAAAAAGGCTGAATAGAGGAAAAAAATCGTGTAGTCGCAAATTTTTGTATAGTGGTAAAGGGAAGTGTCATTAACAACATACTAAAAGTCCTGACCCGTAGGGGATGAGCGCGATGGTGGGGGAGTGTTTGAAGGTCATTTTCTCAATCAATTCTTGAATAATTCGAAAATCGTGACCTCTAGCGAAAAAATATAGGTATACAAAATTGGACTACTTAAAATTTTCTATAAAAAAGTTCCTATTCAGTTGTTGTCTACAATGGATAGTTTCTGAGATACAGGGGAAACAAAAATCGGAAAGTATAAAAAATAGTTTACTGATATGCAATTCATGTTTGTTGTGTCACTATTGTCCTGCGTTTCATGAAATGTATACCTATAGACTGCTTCTCATCAAAAGATAGCTTTTACTATAAAAATAAGGACTGGTAGCATAAACTGATTTTGATTTTGATTTTGATTTTGATTTTGATTTTGATTTTGATTTTGATTTTGATTTTGATTTTGATTTTGATTTTGATTTTGATTTTGATTTTGATTTTGATTTTGATTACTCAATCGTCTGTCGAATACCTACTCTACCTGCAAAAGTTACCCATGAACAATGGCTGGAAAGTGTTTGATTTGTGAGTGTGATGTTGTCAGCAATGTATGTAATGTTGGTGAGAAAGGGATTCGCGTGGATTGGTGGCAACTAGAGATCCAATAGCACCTGAAGCGATACTGAACAGCATATTCTGCCGATGTTCTACTGGATGTGGAGGACGATGTGGTTATCGGAAAGCTGGAATTCCATGCTCCATGGTGTGCGGCATGTGCCATGGTACGTTTACGAACGGTGCACCGTTACTGGATGTGGAAAATGACGATGAAGATGATGGTTAATTGTTGATATTATTAGACGTATTCATTCAAATATGTCTGTTCTCAATGAGTAATGTATTTTTTCTGTTAATATTCAAGTTAAACACCAATTCCATACCATTAAACTCTATTTTTGATACTTCTCGATTTTTTCATCCCCTGTATCTCAGAAACTATCCATTGTGGACAACAAGTGAATAAAAACTTTTTTATTGAAAATTTTATTTACTTCAATTTTGTATAACTATATTTTTCCGCTAGAGGTCGCGATTTTCGAATTATTCAAGAATAACTTGAGAAAATGACCTTAGAACGCTCCCCCACCATCGCGCTCATCCCCTACGGGTCAGGACTTTTAGTATGTTGTTCATGGCACTTCCCCCTGCCACTCTGCAAAAATTTGCGACTACACGATTTTTTTCCTCTATTTTTCGTTCGTTTACTGAACTATTTACGCCAAATGCAAGTACAGGTTCACTTTTGCATATCAGTTTCCAGATCGACCATCAGCGATATGCATTAAAGCATTTGTCAAATGGTATTTTAGTCATGATGGTAACTTGATCTGAATAATAATGTACGGACATCCTCACTGATACATAATGATGAATATGGCCTTGAGGTCGTTTAGAATCTAGTATGATGATATATGAAATGTGTACTTATTACTCTGGCCATAAAAGTCTTTGTATGTACAAATGGATGGATTGATAGATGAGCTATATACAACCTCAAAATCACTTTTTGATCCTGCTTTTAGTGGAATTCAATATTCAAATATAGACTTTGGAGAGTTCAACACTTTAACAACAAATATGAACGTCACAATATGGAGGTTTGTTTTGTCAAAACTATATGTATCTTTTTCCACGATATTCACATTATCATGATATTGTTTTCTTCTGATGAATATCTTTCTTGTTGAAACCCCAAGATTTTCATTCACTGTAGGTTTGAGGTGGTACAACTATTCACATTCATAAACCATATTTGCATGGACAACTTGAGGAAAGACTTTATATGCTGTAAATAATACACCATTATCTATCGACTATCCATTTTCTTGGAATACAATCACACATACCACAGACAACAACGTCAGCTTTATTAAATCTCCTATGTGATACATACAATGTTTTCATTATATTATGATGACATCCATCTAACACTATATGACATAATAAAATATTGTCTGATGCTATAAAATGAGCACATTTTCACCATCGGCGAAAAAAGAGTAGACCAAACAGATTATCTTATTAAGCTGTATATAAAGTCCACAAAGTTTGAACTCCATGCAAAGCTCCGCTATACGAAGCGTTGTTGCCAAATGGTTTGTTGGTTTTGTATGTATATCAACGATAAGATAACCGTTCCGCCAAAAATTGCATCATTCTTGCTAATTCCAGTACCATGTATATTTTATGACATAAACGGAGGACTGACTTTCTGACCTACAACACCATATCTAATAATCATTGAACCCTTCAATGGATTTCGATGAAAGTTTACATTCATACACAATGATTTTGAGATGATTACTTCTGAATTTTGGATAAGAAGAAGTACTTGCTTCTTCCAATGCTCCTCCGGCATTTTATCGAAACTCTGGAATAACTTCAGGTGAATCCACCAAATAAAATTCCCAAGAGAAAAAGAGAATCCACCATTCTGAACATTTACTAATCGAAAGTATATGTGATTTATTCATACTGATATTATAGGTACGAAATTTAGTGTAATAGTGAGTTGATACTGTTGAAAAGTATTCTTCCACTAGGTTTCAGGTGACGTAATCATTTTTTTTATTGAGTTAGGTAGTCATTGAGAAAGGATGAGTGAAATTAGTTAACTTGTTTCTCTATCAATAGATTCTATAATTAGGAATGATTAAAACTCTCCGGATTTTCAACATTCTCGAAAAATTACATATGAATAAAGTTTGCACTTGTTTTGACCTGTTGAACTTGAATATGTAAAAGTATACAGGGTGTTCCATTTGAAAAAGTTGCTGGCATTGATGGAATGTGATAAAATCCGAAATGATTGCCAATAAATAACTGTACTTCCAGAAAAATCCGTTCGAGAAGGCAGAAATTACAGGGGTGGCCCAAAACCCTGTGTTCATCCGGTATATACAAAAAATATTGAATACCTACTGCTGACCATGCAATTCGTTATATAAAAAATGAAGTAAAAATGAGAACATGAGTGTACCTACTGAAGACAATTGGATAATAAGAATCCAATAATTGGAATCCTGGACTATCACTGTCTACAGGGTGAGTCAAAATCACGGGTATACACATCTTTTATTCCTCCAATTTCGGAAATATGATTCTGAATTCGCCAGAAATGGTGTAAATTCTCGATTCCCAAATACCTACAACACCCTTTCTGATATCACGTTCTTCAAATATACATTGTTTTCTGAAACTGATCATACCACAAAATTGGCTTACTTCAAACCCAAACGAAATTATTAATCAGTAGATTAGTGTGGTCTAAAAAATAAAAGTTGAGGGTGAAATTTTGAATTATAGATGAGAATACCAAGAACCGTTTGATGCAATCCAGAACAGTTTCTTGCTTCAATTTGTTATCTTTAATGCATATAGGTATCGCTTGATAAGGAAATGGTGAGATACCCAGTATGAAGGCCGAAATTTCTGAGCTTCAAATCAACGCTGAAAAATTTTGGAAACATTTTTATTTTTTCCTCGGTCCCGGAACATTTTCTGAAACTTAGCAACGTTGCCACTAGCAGTCTGACTCGCGTATTTCCGTTGGTACAACCGCTTCTCGTTTCGTTCTCCTATCTCTCAGTCCGCACTAAGAAATGCCATCGCAGAGTAGATAACCCACTAACACCGTCGAAAACGAGAAAACATTACGACTTGCCGAACGAAATTTCAATACTCGTCTCAAGGAACATTTTTTGACAGTGCCGCGTGAAGTTTGTGATAATTGTGATAACAGGTTGTGGAGTACAAGTTTCCAACTGGATTAACTGGAGCAGTAAGTACATACATTCGTTTGGTTTCCGTTACTCACCATCATCCAATGAAGATTATGTTTCGACTTACCAACTAGGTTTAAGTCTCAACATTGAACATTCAGAGATTCAAGTATTATCCTTGAAAAACTGGGTAAATGTCCAGGAATAAACATCAAGAATGTGTTCGGCTTCATTCAACAGTACCTACACCTACCCGACCTACCAACCAACCAACTTAGCTGAGTCACATATTTTTTTTTTATTTCAGAGCTGACTTGCACACAAGATAACGTTGAACCCCCAAATCAAACGTTTGTATACATAAGACAAAACAAGTCATGATCACATACGTTGATTTTTAGAAAAACGTTTGATTGTTTCGAATAAGTCTCGAGTGAAAGTCTCAATTATTGTTGTCTGATAGATTCGAGTATAACTTCTTTCAAAACATCTACAAAATTCCAAACATTTCGGAGATCTTAAAGTTTGTAAAATTTGTAAATAACTCATTCTGATACCTACTTATACCATCAGGGTACCCAAGACCTAACACAAAATGCGTCAATAATACAATACGTCTAAATGTGCTATTCATCTGTTGGGGTATGCCTATGCAGACTCATATTATTTTTGTAGACTTGATTTGGACTGTCAACGATCGTCATTCGTCGTCTATAATTACATTTTCTTCTGGCAAATCATATAGTTAGTCGCACTAGCAGACGATACAGAAATTCGATAGATATATGTACGAAGAAGAGTACATTAAGATTAAAAGTCGTACTCAAATACAGAGTCAAAAATATTGACCCCTGCTACCCAATTCAAAATAACGATTGTTGGTATCATCTTTATAATGACTGTCCACATCATCATCAATTAATTAGATATTTCGCACGCAACTTACTGTGCCTCCAGATACAATAACTATCATTCGTTCGTACACACTGTAGTTTTCTATTATTAGCACCTAAGGGCAGTTTTTTCTGTGATACCATCTTTATCTTCTTCAAGTTCTGGCCTGTGAAGCTTTCTTACCTAGCTAACCCAACTTCATCGTAACACCTGGCTGGACCTGTCCTGGCTTTTAAGAGGATCATCATCTAGAGTCGACCATCATGTTATATTATAATAGACAAAAGATGGGTTTTCTGTTTCCCCTGAGGTTCCTACCTACTTATTAGTGCATTTTTTCTCTACCGACATGCGTGTCATAGTCCAAGAATAATTTCAAGGCTTATTATTATTCCTGCAAGATAATCTATCATTATCAGCTAATTGTTTTGGTTTACAGGTTATCTATTCCAAATAAAACGTGTTTGGGCATGTCAATTTGAATGAGTGAGTGTCGTGAACGATTCAAGAATCAAGGTCAGGTCATTTCTCTTGGAAATATGTTGTCATTTGTCGTCGAGTTTGTCGTTTACATAGTTGTATCCCACGACAATTTGTTTAATTTTTAAGCATTATTCAATTTCTATAAATAGAAGGATGAACTGTTGAATGGTTTCAACTTCATGATTCATTTTCTTGGAATGCAATTTTCAGAGTTTCAGTTGAAAACAGGTAAGTATAGGTCTTAAAAAAATCTGCATTTTGTTCTTGGTAAGGTAACCTACTACCTCGTATTGTTCAAGGGGATAAATATTCTCAACCCTTCTTCCTCCACTTGATTTTTTCACCATCGACCAGACAAAACTACTGCTCGCTTATAACAAATCAACACTTGATGCATCAAGTCGTGTATCAACGAGTTTCCACATTTATTTTGATTAGTGAGAAAAAACAGTTTTCTCTCGAGTTTTTTGAATGTACATTCCTCACTGGTCATATTTTACAATACTGAATATTCTAGATATGTGTTAGTCAAGAAGTTTGATGAGTCTTATTCGCATCCTTCATTCTTGAGTTCATTTTCATCCTATCCACTCCCTCAAATGACATGCATAGCGTCTTTTCAATTCATCTCCATGAGATAGAAATATTTTCTCCTCCTTTTTCTCGATATTTTCTTCTATCCGAGAAAATCCATAAAATAGTCAACTACGAAATGGAAAATGTCTTCAGAACTGTTCGAATCAATAATAATTGAGCACGCTCAGAAGGCATACCTAATGTATTCCAATGATTCTTGATGACTTCCACTGTTTCCATGAATTAGGCTCGGAATTAGATCTGACTCTCAGAATAAGTATTCTATGTACTAATGCATTTCTCCTCGTATCTCTCTCTCTCTATCATACATGAGGGCTATGTCCACTATTTTCTTCCCAGTCGTTTGAAATCCATCATGTGTAGATTTACTGTTTACTTTTTCACTGCATATCGTATATTTTGCGATTACCTGATAAAGAGTATTTGCATGGCCCCGTTCTGCTGCATCCTCAGATCTGATTAGCTATCTATTATTGATCTTGACGCCACTAAATAAAGATCGAAAAAATGACACAATATATCAAGAATTCTCTTATCTTTGGGAAATCCAGCTGTTCTAAGAATTGATTGATCGTTTTTTCCTCGTTTTTTTCAGTTATGTAGCGATCAAGGTAGCGATTCACAATTGATGCTTCAAATGGATAACCGAATGAATCAATAAAATATTTAATCGTATATCATATTTTTTCAACATTCTATACACATGAACATAGATATATATGCTATCAACATCAACAGTTTTATTACCACTTAGTAGGAGCTCACTTTCCAACATTTTGAATATGGGTAGGAAGTGTTAGGCTTATCAGTTGTTTATAATGCAAAGAAGCTCTCACCTGGTTATACGTGATGTTTCCTCATCGCCACAAAAGACGTAAAAATAATGGCTGATACTCAGGTATACAACATATTTTGAATGTTTCAAACGATTTGAAAGGTTAATCATGATTTATGTATGTCCTAAACAAGATAGTTTACATGAATATTTTTGTCTCTATCTCACATTCGGACAGCAAAACTTAGAAGACAATCGGTAGGTGCTGTTTACATTAGAAGTGGAGAAAAGTGGAAGTATAAGAAGTGTTTGTAGTTTAAACGAGGAGGTGGAACATTGATTCCTCTGAATTTTGAGGATTTTCTCTCCTCTTGTTATATTTACTTTCAGTAAGCACATATCAATTCAGATGACTCCACTCAGAATATCATGGCGCTGAAAGTTTTATTATTAGAAACCTAGGAGAAAACTCAATCTATAGTCAGTGACAGTGACCATTTTCATATTCAAATTGAAGAAGCGAATACCATGTTATATCTATACAAACATATCAGAGTGACCAATTGAAACTAGATTCGAAAGCTTCTCAATGCCTCGCTCAATGCATAATAAATAATTTGTCACTAATTTCATAGAATTGTTAATATTGAATATTTTTTCATGAAAATTTGTGCGGTTTCAGAGGATGTCGATTTCAGTGGCGTAGGAAGTTTTAAAAAAAAATCGTTTATATGGATGCTGGATCTTTCAGCGTCTGAATGTGATCTGGTAGGCCTTTGTTTTTAGAAAAAGTGGAATCCGCTTTGCTCTAAAATACACCATAAATAACATTTTTCATGGTGGATCGCTCTCAAATGGGTCCGAGGGGTAAATCTCATTGGAAGTCTGGTGTACACTCCATTGGAAGTCTTTGGAAGTCTTTGGAATTGTTTGGAAGTCTTTGGAAGTCTTTGGAAGTCTTTGGTAGTCTTTGGAAGTCTTTGGTAGTCTTTGGAAGTCTTTGGAAGTCTTTGGAATTCTTTGGAAGTCTTTGGAAGTCTTTGGTAGTCTTTGGAAGTCTTTGGAAGTCTTTGGAAGTCTTTGGAAGTCTTTGGATGCCATTGACATTTTTTGAAATTTGATGGAAATAATCGAGAAATAATTCATGGTTATTGAACTTCTTTTAATATTATAGGATTGGATATGAGCAAATCACCTCCAATTGGATTGACAATGAGGTACCTACTTCTTAATGACTAGAAAAATCTTGAAAAAAAAAGTATCTCAGTGAACTATTTTATACTCGACTATATCTTATAATGCACCTAGAAGCGCATGGGTCCGCAGGTTGTAGGTATACATATACCCTTTAGCAAATATGAATTCCAGTGACTCCGATGGAACGTGTTTTTGTGATTTGATCCTATATACCGAACCTATAAAGTGTGTTGTGATATTTAACAGTCTATTATTGCCCTCGTTCTAGATATGGAAGGAAAATGAACCATTCAAGTAGGTACTTTGATTTTGTGATGCACAGCAGAGAAATACGTAATACATATTATGAAAAAGTGTTCTTTCCAAAAAACAGACCTGTTTCCAACCAGAAATAATCGTTTTGAACTCCTCCGAGTTGTATACCTTGTCCTAAGTATAAGTATAGCTTACCTATTTCACTCATCAACACGTTTATTCTCAAGATTTCTTTAATTTTTTTTTTCTCGTATGTCAGAATATTCATTTTTATTTGTGGAATACAGGGTATTCGGAGATGAAACCGACGAAACTTATGGGGTTATAGGGACTGCCAATATACTGACATACAGAGTAATTTATGCCAATTTATGGATTTTGACAAAAAAATCAATCTGCCATACAGGGATTACCCGATTGGGTTCAAATTTGATATATTAACTGAACTCAAATGCTTCACCAATGAGCCTTCTGAACGAAATCAGTATCAGGACCAGAATATTATTTTTTTCCTATGTTTAGTTATTGAGAGAATAAATCACCTTGTATAATAATTATCAAGAATCTGAGATCATATTATGAATCTAAGAGGAAAATACTATTGAAACTTGGTGAGAAAGAGATTTATTATTTTAATTTCTTTTATTAATTGTCGGATAAAATAATGGCAAGAATCGAAATAAAATTAATATTCACGAAACCAAAACATAATTGTTGTTATTGTCTTTGATTTCTCCGTAGTAATATTTAATGAATTACTCTCATAACCTGAAAAACTGAAGAATATTATTAGGGGTGGAACGAGGGGTGGAATGAGTCTTACGGAATGACTGAAATTGTGCCAGAAATATTTTTCACAAGTTCCTATAGTATTTTTTCCGTCGATTCATAATGACCTCAAATTTTTGATAATTATTATACAGGGCGAGTTATTCTTACGATAACTAAACATAGGAACAAAAAAAATATTCCGGTCCTGATATTGATTTCGTAGCCTTCGAGTTCAGGGGTAGGGGGTGTAGATGTTCTCATTTTCCGAAATATCACCTCGCATCCTGGGTAAATTAAGAATTTCTCGAGGAATTTCTTCAACACTTACTCTTACTCTTAGTTGTACCTTCGGTTGTATACCTGCTTTTTCATGTTATCAAATATTCTAGATGTTCCTTCGCGTTTAAGTCATGTAGGTACAGGGTGATTCACCTGAATTCACCATGAATGTCCCCTCCCCCCCTCTAGCTCAGTTATTTTTGAACCAATTGCAAAATTTCAAATACCTACAATGATTTTCGATAGAGTTTTTTTCCGCTTCATCAGAAGATACGAGGTGCTCGGAACAAACGATCTACAGGGTACTATTTGATTTCTCAATGGAACACCCTATTTTTCATTGTATTTTTAGATTCTCCCTGAAGAGCTGATTTCATCGATGTATCACACTTAGAGTCTAGCGAAAATGATTACAGAGATATAGGGTGTTCAAAATCGAGATTTTTCAACTTTAAGATTTTCCTGTGAGGAAACTATTTATTATCGGTCAGAATGGCTTTCATGTTCATATCTTGATTTCTGCTTTACTATCTACTGACATTTAATAATTGGAACATATACAGGGTGATCATAATTCTGAATCTTGAACCACACTGTATATGTTCCAAATAAATGTCAGTAGATATTTAATCAAAAGTTGAGATAGGGGCATTGGAGCCGTTTTAACTAATAAATCCAATAATGAATAGTTTCGACAAAAAATCCTAAAGTTGAAAAATCTCGATTTTGAACACCTGTTATCATTCCCGCTAGACCCCAAGTGTGATGTATTGATGAAATCAGCTCTTCAGGGAGAATCTAAGAATACAATATAATACAGGGTGTTCCATTTGAAAAAATCAAGTAGTACTCTGTAGATCGTCTGTTCCGAGCACCCTGTATTTTCTCATGCAACGGAAAAAAACGGGAAATTTTAGATGATTTTTCAAATTTTCAAATCGGTTCTAAAATAAGTGAGCTATATAGAGGGGGAACATTTATGGTGAATCACCCTATACCTGACTATGACATTAGCTCATTAGCATATAGCTAGAAATATTTGTTGTGATATTATTAACGGAAGACTGTGGTATGATATTATACAGTGTGACCCACTTATAATGGAAACACCCCTGTATCTTTCGTAATCGTTGGGTAAGGATCCTGAAATTTGCTGGAGCGAGATATATACGAAAAATGCACTCTATGACCAAGTGAAGCAATCTTCAGTGATATACACTGCTCGCCAACAGCCATGGCACCACCCCAATTTCCGAAAAATGATATTAGGAGTCAAAATATGTCGAAAATCACTTCAGATTCGGAATCAGGAGGCCCAATTTACCAACTATTCATATTTTTCCTGAAAAATTTTCAGTTTTGAAAAATTGACTTTTGTAGCACTTTTTACGGAAGCACCCCCGTATCTTACGTAATTGACTTTATCTTCAGACTTTTAATTCCTCCTGCAAATTTCAGAACCTACCTCAATAATTACAAGAGAAACGGGGGTGCTTCCATGAGAAGTGAGACAACATTTAATTTTTCTGAACTGAAAATTTTCTAGGAAAACTACGAGAAAACTATAAATAGTTAGTGAAATAGGCGTCCTGATTCCGAATCCGAAGTGATTTTCAACCGATTTTCACTCCTAATATCATTTTCTGGAAATTGGGGTGGTTCCATGTCTGTTGGCAAGCAGTGTATATCACTGAAGATGACCCCACTTGGTCATAGATTGCATTTTTGGTATATCTCTCGCTCCAGCAAATTTCAGGATCCTTACCCAACGATAACGTAAGATACTGGGGTGTTTCCATTAGAAGTGGGTCACACTGTATATATGTAGAAGTGAACATAGTTGATACTGAATTACTAATATGAACATTTAGTGTCCTAACTTAATTCTTTTTTGGGCTTCAATCGATTAATAGAAGGCTTCGAAAATCAATGGAAGTTATTGGAATTAGCTCAAAGTCTTTGGTAGTAGCTGAAAGTCATTGGAAGTCATTGGGAGTCTTTGGAAGTCTTTGGAAGTCATTGGAAGTCTTTGGTAGTCTTTGGAAGTCTTTGGAAGTCTCTGTTCATTGGAAGTCTGGTGTACACATTTCTCCTGGAGATTAACCCCTCGAATGGGTCACTCTGGATATCAACTGAAGAGGTAATCATGTTCTACATACTGAGTATTATTGAAATAAATAAATCAAACCCTGAGAAGGCTCAAAGTTAACTATCAAAAAAATAATGCGATCAGAATAAAATTTTGGGCAAGACCTCCTTTTTGACCCAAAATTCTACTTATCAAGAACTGTAATAATCGCTCTTGGAAGAGAATCGCGGGGAACAAAGCAAATATGTCACAGTTCAAAAAAATGGTAAGATAGCAAATAATGTTTAATAGTGGCTAGAAAGTGGATGTACCTCAAATCTGAGATAAGTCACGTTGGATAAGTTTTTAATTGGATCTCACCACTAATATCCAGAAAATGATATTTCAAGAAATAGAAGTACATGTGTTCAAAATTACTACTAACCGCTACTAACTACAGAACAGCAACTGCTAGTATCTGCTAGTATCACAATGGCTTCAGGTAACTGACATTAGAATAGTTCGAACATTCCAAAGTCCACTCACCCCAAGAGCAACAATTGGCTAGTTTGGTATGTCTTCTTCAGTTTCTGGAACATCACAGTTAGAAAATAGGTGAAGCTGCTTAAACTACCAAGCTGCTACTTGAAGATGATTGAAATAATAATTAATATGCACGGTCATCCTAAATATGATGTAAATTACATCTGTCATGCACGTATATGGTATGCAAGTTATCAAAAATCCAATGGAAACTGATAGTCACATATTGAATTATTATAAATAGTTGGTTTATTTCACGCATATTTACATTTACATTCATCAGATAGGTATATATAAGTATAACGAGTTCAATCATTTCTCTAGTGAGAATATTATCCTCATCAAAATCCTCGTCAAAATCAATCCCATACATAGAAAAAATTATTATTAGTTGAAACCGGTTGAAACCAAATTCATCTTCATACATTGAAAGGTAGGAATATTGAAACTATTGACTTTCATGAGGCTTTCATTCGAGTAGACTTTTTTTTTACAAGTATGCTTGGATGTTCATCAAGTAATGCCTGAATCAACTTTGAAAATCAACTTCATTGTTTGAAGTAATGAAGCCCTATTTCTAAGAATTATGGTAGGTACTGATGATTTGTTGAATGCCGAACACCTTCTGTGGTCTGACATTTCTAAAATCCCGACCTCATTGACCAAATTTCTAGGTACTGACCGGCCATTAGTGTCTTTATTCTTTCTCGAGCGAAAGGACAAAAGATCAAAAATCTTCGAAAAAAGAAAATTCACAATAGGAGTGCCAAGTGTCGGAATGGTTCTTTGTGAGTTCAGTAACCTGCGAGCATGAAGTAGAATTAACAATATGACGAGCCAGATTCATCAAAGCAGACCAGGAAGTGGATTTAGCCTCTCTGAGCTCGGTGAGTATGGAAAGAGCGTGATCATTATCGAATCTATCTTGATTGATACCATATCACATTTATTGTGGTTTTCAATGATCATGAACAATTGTAAGCTTTGATTATTCATTTGGTTCAAGTACACATCGATCATACCTGGATCATTTACTGGAACAACTTCACATATAGTTTCAGATATTCTCAAGAGGATAACTTTGTGTGTGTGATCAATATGAGGTTGTACAGCAGGGGGGGGGTCTTGAAAACGGAAGTACTCACGAATTTGGATAAATGCGGGTAAATGAAAAAAAACGAGGGAAAATAGTTGCCCGTTCAGAGGGATACTACAACATTCTTCGAAGATTTTCAGTGAGGCTGATAATAATTTTTTTTTCATGGAATTTTGAAAATACATTGATGATGGCTAAGACTATGTCGAAACACAGTCAAACTACATGGTTCCTATCAGAATGAAAATAAGTTTCAGAATCTGTGAACACCTCTATGACACTTGTACGGGAAATTATTTCATTTCATTATTTTTTTTTTCATATCTTGGAGCTCGTACCTAGGGAGGATAGGAAGTGGAGGTAGGTGTTTGAATTTTTGTTGACCTCTAGGAAGTTATAAGTTCTTGGGGAATACTCCCATTGGCAAATAATTCCAAATCTTTGCCGTTCTACGAACGAGTTTTGGTAGAGATTTGTCCAACAATTTCCAAGGTTAACGACGAAGTAGTGTGCCGACTGGGCCTGTCGAGTTCGTCTGACTGGTATTGCTTATGATGGAATTATAGCAGTGATTCCTGAGGGACATATCCCGTAGAATTATCTATAGAAAAGTGGAAGGTCTCCGACTTCTCTACGGTGTCCTAATGAAGCCGAATACTCTTCTCTGGATGGAATCTAAGAGCATCAGCGTATGTTTGGGTGCTGAACCTCATACATGAGAACAGTTTTTCAAAATCTGTGATTTGTAGATCATGAGAAGCTCTTGAGCTGTAAAGTGGATGAATTCTTTCACGATATTACTGAAAAACAATGAATTGTTCAGAAAGTTCCAAAGATAATTGAAATGACCCTCCTTATGCTCAATTTTGTCCCATTCAACCGAATTCGTATATATGGTTTGCGAGATCCCCATGCTGTGCAACCTTATCTTGGTCACACTGGTAGAAGTCAATATTATAGATAGAGTCTATATTATTGACATTGGGTCTTGATTTACAACATTTTTCTTTGTATCATTGCATCATTTCATCATGAAAAGTAAATATATCTGATGTGTATAATAAACGTATCTATGACTATACTGAGTGTTACACACATTTCAGAATATATTGAGCGTACAGTTACCAACAGTCCACAAAAGTTGATGATAGAAACAAAACGGTACATGATGTTGAGAAAGGAATATAGACAGATATAGAGATTCATCAGACAACAACTTTTTTTTGTCGAGGTGGTTTGAATCCTTTATGGACACCATATGGGTCCCATATCCCCCATATGATAGTGTGGGGCTCCCCTGACTCTAGCCACGGTTTACCCACTAAAAACTCCCCCCCGTTTGTAGGCTCGTCTGACCATGTCTCCGACGATACTTAGGCCTATGGTGGCCCATTGTATCTTACCTAGTAGTTCTTTATTGTGCCCACTCCATTATCTCTGTACCTTGAACAAGTCTGTACAAATCCTTCACTGGATGTTAGTTGAATACTTCTGGTTCGCCAACTGGTTGCCCAAAGATCTTCTGCCTTCTGCGGTCCAATGCCTCACATCGGCACAGTATATGTGCTACTGTTTCTGGTTCCTTGCCACATAGTCTGCAGCTTGGGTCGCCATTGTACAGTCCCATTCTGGCGAGATGCTCCTTCACTGGCGCATGACCAGTCATGAGTCCCGTAACAGTTTTTACCTGTGCTCTGTTCAAGTTGAGCAGGTCTACAGTTCGTTCATGACTTGGTTCCTTGATGTATTGTTTTCCATGTCTGATCCTTGGGATGTTTTCCCAGTAGCTCTTATGTTTTGCCTGAATCCAGTCATTAACTGACACTCGTGCTGTACGTTTTGGTACTCCAAGAATCTGTCCTGGATCTGGCTCGTTGTCCGACCCTCTTCTTGCAAGTTCGTCAGCCTTCTCATTGCCAGCGATCCCCTGATGACCTGGCACCACCAAAAAGTTGATGATAGAAACAAAACGGTACATGATGTTGAGAAAGAAATAGACATATATAGAGATTCATCAGACAACAACTGTATCAAGAACAATTGAGTTCGTGATGAAGAAAATACTTGATGAAGCTCATTGTGAGGTTGATTGTAAGCAATGAATTGAAATATTACGGGACCCTCGGAAAAATCCAGTTAAGTTTGTTTCCCGATGGCTCAGCTCAAAACCGAGCCCACAACAATAACCACTCAGTGTGAGTACTCACTGGGTAGCTGGTTATTTCTTGAATGAGCAAAACGAAAAAACAATAAGACCATTGATGGCAAAAATTGTCTCAGATGCGCATTGAGTTCGTTTTTTCAAAAACTAACCTGGTAACCCTATAGTATATACATCTTAGTCCATGAAGGTTTCAAAAGGAGGAGTCAGTCCTTGTTTGGAGGGATTGAAAGACAATAAAATTGAGTCTTGAAAGTGTGAAAATCATTCATAATCTGCAAATTAATTGAAGCAAAGGTACATAACTCTAGGTTCTTTTTCTGTTCTTAGCACCCATCAGCTTAAAGGACATTTGAATTAATAATGCTATTTCATCACATTTCGTAAACATGTCCCATAGAAAAGATTGTTTTAACTTTTATGTTTACATCCAATGGACTGAATGAGAAACCGCTATTACGGCAACTGGCTGATGAGCACTCTTGTGGAGGTCACAACAATCAATGAAAAGCTATGCCTGTATGTTTGCAAACATCAACGTTGTTTTTAAGTAACTTCAATTGGATCTCATATGAATATGAATCATCAATTTGAAATCTACGATCATTCATTGAATCAGTTAATTCGCAAGTTACTTCAATTAGGTATATGTGCGTCAAAGATTCTTATGTGACGACCGAGATGACGACTATGTCCAATTTGAAAAATACTAAAAGACGAAAAATCCAGGTCATTTCTTTCAACAGACGCCATTATTCAATTCTCTCTCTCGCCCTGTGAGTTATCATTATGAATAATTATATAGTGGACTACTCACTCATGCGATGGTATACATAATATGGGTGACCAGGCCGAATCAGAAAAAAAACTGAAGTGAGATGTGACTTTTTTGAATCAATAAATAAATGTATTGTCACGAATACCAGCACATCGCTTTATTTCAATACAATTCTTCTTCTTCTTATATCCAGACGGTGTAACAGGGCAGTCAAGGTTATAGCAACTAACCGCATTCAATTAGTTTCGTTTACTATTGTACTCGTGTACCTTTCATTCTTTCTGAAATATGCCAATCATATTACATAGGCGATACAGCTGAATGAACGAAATACCACAGAAATAATCAATATCTTACTTCAATCCTATCTACAACTGACTATTTGGTACTCAAATCTTAACTCACAAGGATCCTCGTATCGCATTTTTTCTAGAATACGCTCTAATTCCAGTATGAGAATAGGAATACCATCAGTCACGATGAGACAGGTGATAGGTGGTTTCTATAATATTTTTTGCAGGAAAACTGTGCATGGAAGCCTGTATAGTTCAAATAGCAACTAGAAGCGTGGAGTCAGCCTAATGGTTGTGATTTTATGTTGGTCGGTAGTCATTTTACGCTGTCGTAATACCAGCAGAAAAGTTTATTCTCGATCATTATATATTTCTCTTGTTGATGCTATGCACAATTGCACATGCGTTAGACATAAGTATCACATGATCTATTGCGGGGCTGGAATGCCTTTTGGTATTCAACTTCTCGTATCTCCTATTCTAGGCAGTGAATTTGAATGTCTGTCACTTCATGACACGTGGAGATTATCATGCCGCTCCATACTTTGAATAAGTGAACAGATTACTTTTAATCTGAATCGATGGTTCAGTTTAATTGATAACAGCCATTATTTTGTAATCTTTACTTTTTCCGAAAGATAACAGTTCTATAAAATACTCTAAACTTCCTCTCAATGTGTAAATATATATACAAACGGTGTCATGTAAGCAAACACCACAACCGATATGCATATGGCTATAGGGTGATGATTAGAGAACTTGGAAAACTATCACCCACTAGAATAAATCATTTATCGAAGACTCTTTATGCTCTCTTGCAGTGACTATAACAAAAATGCTTTTGCTGATAATAATAATTGATTCAACTTCAGACTAAACTGTGACGAAATTAAAATATGCACCGTGCATGATTGACAAAATTAGATCTAGATCTTAGATTTTGACAAAGATTCAACGAAGGACAACATCATATTTTGTTGTTTCAACAATCATTTCATTGTTCAATCAATCATATACTTTTCTTCTCTCCGACAAAATTGAATTCATCTTGACTATATTATATTTTGTTGATTCAACATCATTATGAAGGAATAAGTATGTTATTATTTCGAACAGATTACAATTTGTTGAACTAAACCAACAGATACACTATATCAAACGAATATTTTGTATATTGATTGTCTATCAAATAGGTACCTAGAACATCCGTTTATATAATTATATTTGAGGCTGTCCTAGAACTTTTAATTAGTCTTGATTCAACTGAGAAAATTTGTCTGTTTTGAAATAATTCATTTATTGAAAAATTGAACAATATCATTCAACAAAACTGTTTTTCAATTATAAATATAATTTTGTTGATCGAATGAAATTCCTCATTGGATGGAAATATATTTCAACATATACACTTTCTGAAAAACTCAAAATTTTGTCACTTGAATAATATTACATGATCAATAATTAATTACATCAAATGAATTTCACCAAAGAAATTTGTTAGAGTAACAAAATATTTTGTCGTGGATATATGACACTCAGATTTTGTTAAATATACATAA